TCGTCCTGCTCGATACGACGATTGACTCTGACTTATCTTCCCACGTCTTTGACTTCTCAGTACTCCATCCACTCCAGTTTTGCTACTTCAGCTCGTCGATATTGCGGCTCTTCCTCGACGGCATTCCGGACTTCTCATCGTGGACGTCATCGGCAGCTTCATGGACTTCGTCACGATCAGCTCTGCCTACTTCAGACGTCGTCACTCTCCTACTACTTAACCCTGTACAGTACCCTGCTTGTGTCGCATGATGGTCTCCCTTTAGCCGGGTTCCTCTGAGTTGGGCTCTCCCTTGGTATACGCATAGGCATTGGGACCGTAGCGTTGCCCTGGCTTCCCAGCTTACAGATCTAGCTCCGACTTCCCTTCCCTTAGGAGTCACTTGCATGATTCCCTTACCCATCACTTTTTCTACCTTATGCCGGCCCTCATGCCCTAGTCAGGCAGCCCCTCATGCTTCATCTCGGTGCGCCCAGTATACCAGGCTCCCTTGTTCCTTTGCATGGTCGACCCTCCATAGCGGTCACCCCTTAGTCGAGCTTTACCCGCCCTGATGGTCTATATGTTAGGGTCATTGGTTCTGTTCGCTCCCTGTTCCCTACCCTCATTGAGCCTGATGACATGTGTCTCCCTGTTATCTATGTGTGGGTGCCCTTAGGAGTTTTCGACCCCTACGCTGCATTCGCCACCCTCAGAGACCATCCCACACTTTGGTTTGCGACACACTCCTCATTGTGACATATGGTTGTTGATTGTTGCTCTCAGACTGAGGCTACTGCCTATGATATTTCTAGGATTTAGTTGTTCTGCTTTTGCTGTTCTGAGGACTTATACACTAGTCAGTTGTTCCCAGACTGAGGCTAGTGCCTCCAACATTCTAGGATCTAGTTGTCACTACTTTCTGCTTTCCTAGGACATGTATGTTAGTTAGCTGCTTCTGCTTTCCTAGGACATGTATGCTAGTTAGTTGCTTCTGCTTTTACTTAGGTTGTTAGCTATGACATTGTTGTTTTGTGACATTTTATATCCTAGGTTGCATCGCATGGACTCAGCATGGAGCTTGCTCCGCATCCTAGACTACTCAGGTTTTCTTTTCTTTGTGTAGAGTTCCGCTTCTTGGCGGAAGCGTCCTTGTATCTAGGCGATCCATCACACGCCGAGGATCGTGTAGCGGACCTCTGGTGGGCCTGTGAGACCAGCCCCTTGGCCTGTTCTCACAGGCCTGTGTTTTATTCGGGGCAGTCCAGTCCAGTCCAGCCCGGCACCTCTGTCGGTACCAGCCAGTCCAGTCCAGTCCCGTCAGTCCGCTGAGGTATACCCCAACCTTTGTCTGTTTTCGGGATCATTCTACACTTGCACGATTTGGAGTACGTGCGCTGGAGCCTTGCGTGGGAGCTGCGCTGTGCTGTCTCGCTCCTCCCTCATCCTCCATCTCCGTCATCATCCCTAGCGGAGCATCACACCTGGTGGGTCCGCTACAGTCCCCAACACTTTGTCCCATCGGTGGTCCCCAACATCTTTTGTCCCGCCGGTGGTCCCTGACATATTTTGTCCCGGATACCATTATTTTTACTTAGTCCCACGTGGTCCGTAGCGTCTTTCCTCAAGGTGTCTCATGTTCTTTTGGCATCCCCGCCCTACGGTGGATGCACAAGTCCTTTAGACCGCGCAAATTGTTTGAAGGGTTGAACCGGGATCAGATTCACAGGCTACCGCCCGGTACCAGGGAGTTCTCGATACGGCATGAGAAAGAGATAGCCACTGTTGTTGAGAACCTCAGGAAGGCCCAACACCGAATGATAGAACAGGCTAATAAGAACCGTTGCCCATCACAGTTTCAGGTAGGCGACCTGGTCTGGGTCAAGTCTAAAGAGTTTGCACCTGAGGAGAACATCTCACAAAAGTTACTGCCCGCGTATAGAGGACCGTGGCCAGTTCTAGAAGTTAAGAGCGGAGAAGATGGACCGTCCTATACTATAGAGATTCCAGCACACCTCCACACCTACCCTATGTTCCACGCATCAAAGTTGCTGCTGTGTGTCACCAGTCAACAGTTCCCATCTAGACGGTCCATGATCCCTCCAGACATGGACGGAAGATATGACATTGACGGCATTGTAGGTGAAGATGTGTTCAGAACAGGAGGTAGAGGTCGTCCACAGAAACGGTATAAAGTCCGGTTTGCTTATCAGGAGCCGGAGGATGACCGCTGGTTCACTAGAGCATAACTTCTAGAGACAACTCCCGATATAGTTAGAGCCTATGAAAGAGATCAGAGAGGTAAAGGTCCTGCCTTGGACTGAGTTATTCTCGGAGGACCTCGAATTTAGGCCGGCGGGAGTGAAACGGTATTCACCAGTTCRCAGTAGCTGATGCAGATCCCAGGGCTCGATCCCTAGCCCCCAGCTTACCTGTATACACTACCTGTGTCGACCCCTAGAGTTGAACCCGTGACCTGTGTATTTGTAACAGTGGTAGACTGTCGTAGGGTTCAGAGGTTGCAGGGGTTCGATCTATAGACCTGTCGAGTAGGAGTCTTAGTCAGGTCTAGAAGTCATAACTGTAGTTTTCCCGAAAGGTCAAGGTCGTAGCTGCTACAGTCACGAAAGGCCAAATCTACGGCCTTTCGGAAGGTCCCAGTAGTGGCCTTTCGAAGTTGCCCACGTTTAGACTGAGGCAAGTGGGCAAGTGGCGAGGCAAGTGGTCAAGTGGTGGAGTCTGCCCATGCTGAGTCAGCAGTCCCAGTCCTAGGCAGTCCTGGTCCAGTCAAGCGAGTACCACATGGGACTGTGTGCACTTCGGGCATGGGAAAGGGCCAGACCAACGAGCTGCAGAAGTATAAATCAAGAGGCAGCACCCAGTCATTCATTCATTCCTGCGTGAGCCATGCGGAAGCGCTGCCACAGCGACTTGTGCAAGGAGGTCTGCAGTGAGCCCGAAGACGAAGTGGGCAGAGAGACGAAGCTTAGCCATAGCGACAGGGTAGAGGCGGCCATAGCCGCCATAGCTGTAGAGTTCAGTGTGTGTGTGTGAGTGTTCAGAGAACAGCGTGTGGGGTATCCAGGATGATCCACAGTATGCGAACGGAGAGTTATATGGGCGCTATATCGCCATAGCCATTGGAAGTGAACTCATATCTGGGTTGCAATATCTCTGAGTACTGAGTGGGCGCATGTCGCCAGTTTGCTGCGCTACTGTTTGCATGCACGTAAAGTGTGAATGAAAGCGAGTCTGATTGCACAAGTGCATCCGGACCCGATATTGACTCCGGATGTGCTTGAAAGTTGAGATATGTGTTTGCTTTACTTTTTGTGATTCATTGCGTCTCAGCCTACTTGCTGCTTGATTTATCTTGATTTTCTCTTCGAAAATAAAGGAAATCAAGGCACTCTGCAACCATTTCATCCTAGGATTAATTCGGTGACAAAATGTATCTAAAACATGTGTTTTATTTTACTCTAGGTGTCCGTTTTTGCCCGTTTTTGCCCCTAGCCTTGATGCAGTCCTGTTCAAGGCACCTAGACCTCTTTTGGAGGGGCAAGCTGGGCATGATGTGGCGGCTTGCCCTTTTTTCGCTCCCACAGTCTCATAGCTCTCCCATTCTCCCTCTAGGTTCTTTTCTCCTCACCTTTGTTGTCCGTTTATTCCGGATCACACTAGAACCTCATTTGTCAGGTTCAGCGTACCTGGGCATGTCACAATTAAGGTCTTTGTGATCCGTTGCCCCCCTTTTGAGTCCCTTCTCAATTTCAAATCTTAGAAGCCTCGAAATTGAGGCTCTCCGTCTCTTTTTCTGGTCCTTCTCGTCCTGGCTCCCAAGTCCCACTTACTTTTTAGATTGCTCGTGCTTGGGCACTTATTTGGGAAGTAACTACCAGTCCTTTTTGTTACCTTCTTTCTTGGTTCATGGCCCTTACGCTTTTCTCATGCCGTATTCAGGTGGCCCCCTCGACCACATGCTATGATCTCATATGTCGGGGTCAAGGCGCTATTTTCCTTGACGTTGTTGACCCCCTTCTTCCTGCGGTACTCAGAATTCGGGTATTATTTTTTCCTGGCGGTCCTCCTTCTTCAAGAAGGGGGGCCGCCTTTACTGATTTCCCGTAGCATTTTGTCGACCACAATTCCGCGGTCCATTCCTGGTTTTCATGTTTTGGCGGTCTCAGGCCCCTTCTTGGCACCGACGATTCTGCCTTAGTCCTTCGTCTTTTCTTTCTCTCTTGCCTCCTCATTCCGGATTCCTCTGGTGCGCACGTCGTAGTCATATATCATGTCTTAAGGATCGGGACTTGATTCGGGAAGCAAAGGTCCCGACAATGTGCTCTGGGCTCAGCCGCCTCTTGAGCTGCTGTTGTCGGAATGAGGCAAGAAAAAGGCTCACGTTACTCTGTAACTAAATGATGTGCGCAACTATCTAATACCCGACATACAAAATTGACAAAAATAGGCCTCTCGTAAATATTATGGCCCGCCTTCACTTAGGGCGGGCACAAGTCTGTACGGGGCCTCAACCGAGATGTGGGGTAAGCCCTAGAAGGGCCACTGCTCAAATTCAGCCCTGCATATGGATTCCAACAACCCTTTAGCATGATCACACTGGCTTGTACCCAGACCTTGGCACATATTAGCAGGATGGGCAAGGCCTTTCCCAACACTGTCGAGGGCTCAAATCCTCGCACACCTTCCCCCTTAGCTTTGAAAGTCCCGTGAGAAGTTTTTGTAACTCCCAGTCTAAAGTCTCTGCACTCTTGAGAATGTATCTGATAATTGTAGTATACTTGAAGTAGCAGAACTTATCGTTCATGCATCCCTCCATGCTTGGGGGCAACTCATGTCCTTCGATAAAACGCATAATTAGTTTCAAAGATCTATGCATGCGAACAAGGATACAATTTACTGGATACGTGCATAGGTGTTCTTGGATTTGGATAATGTAGGGGTGACTATCCGAATCATCCCAGACTAGACCTCTGACTACCCGTCAGCAAAGTATGGCAGTGTTAGAGATGTCAAAATCGCTATCCAACTGCTCATACACTTACTCTAACTTATATTCGTACTTGGAGTATGGTCTGTCAATTGTACTTGTTGTCGGATGCAAATCAACAGCCTACAACAGCTGCCACGCAATGCTGTTGACCGATTTCCAGGTAGGAGAAGTCTATCGTTAGCGTAGGCTTCCTGCTTAAATCCAAATGTCCATTTGCTGCATTTTAGGAAGTTTTCTTGAAAGTATTTTGGCTACCCCTCTTTGACAAGCCACTTCCTACCGCAGTTTACTTATGAAGACGACATCTCTACGATTGACTGTGTAGTTAGGCAGTTCGGGAACCTGTACCTGTTCATTCGTAGATAGGTTAGTACTTGAGGCCTCCAAACTGGTATAAACCTAGCATACTTTGGGAACGGGTCCTTTCTGTAAAACACCTTGCCCTTCTTCATCTTGCTGGTTTCAAGTATATTTGAGAAACAGATGAAACGGTTTCACCCAGTTGACCTGGTACTGCAGTCACAGAGATTCGATCCCTCGACCTGTGCCCTAACCCTGTACATTGACCCTGTGTGCTGAGTGAGATTCGATCCCTAGACCTACCCTGTACCTGTACATAGACCCCGTGACCTGAGTAGGATTCGATCCCCAAACCTGTCCTACGGCTTAGGTTAGTCTGTAGTTTGGTCAGTAGGACTTGATCCCTAGGTCTGTAGATTAGCAGCTAGGTCTGTTACCAATAGGCCTAGAGAGTCTGTTCTAGAAGTCTCTACTGAGTCTGTCGAAAGTCTGTAGAGTCTGTGGGTTCTAGAAGTCCGTAGGGTTCTGTAGGGGGGTCCAGCCAGCATGTACCTGGGTAAGGGCTGCACGTGGGGAAGGTTCTGGAGCATGCAGAGAGTTCCACACGTTTTGGCCCAGAAGGCCAAACGTCTGGAAGCTTCCCTGGGCCACACGTTTTGGCCCAGGCCCACAGGTCTGGAGGCAGGGTCCGGGTACCTCCGAAGAAGTATAAATAAACAGGCAGCGTCCAGCCRTTCATTCATTCGCCTGGGAGCCATGCGGAAGAGCTGCCTTGGTATCTTGTGCGTGGAGGTCTGCAGGTGCCCGGAGAAGAAGTGGGCTGTGAAGAAGACAGCAGCCATAGCGAACCAGCGAGGGAGACACCGGCGGCCATAGCTAGGAGGAGGAAGAYGACAGCGGCCATAGCCGYCCAGCTGTTGGYGTAGACGAGTGTACAGAGTGTGTGAGGCTGTGCTGAGTGGGGACATTCAGGGTGATCCTCGTACGTGCATACATGTGAGAGTGAGGGAGAGTGAGGCTGGTGGTAGAGACAGTGTTCGGCGGCCATAGCCGCAAGTTGTACAGTTGTTCTGAACAGAGTTTAAAAGCAAGTTCATTGTTGTTTCTGAGTTGGAAGAGCTTGGTTTGCCATCGGTTCTCAAGTGTGCATGTTGTGAGCAAGTCCAGAGTTGAGTCTGATTGCATTGGTATCGGAGCTGGTACCCGTTGTCCACGCCGGCGAAGCTGCAGCAGCGAGTTGGAAAAAGGAAGGAGCCGCCATAGCCAGAGATCGGCAGAGAGAGAAATAGAGAGAGAGAGAGAGAGAGAGAGAGAGAGAGAGAGAGAGAGAGAGAGAGAGAGAGAGAGAGAGAGAGAGAGAG